CTGAGGCCTGCTCCCTTGCCTCTCCTGGGTTGGGAGAGGGAGAGGGGATTATTAACAAGATAAAGGGAAAGGAAGGGCTGAAAGCCAAGAAACTGCTTTACCTTAAAAATTTTTAAAAAGAAAAAAATTACAAAAAAATGAAAAGACAGAGACAGAGGTAGAGAGAGACAAAGACAGATACAGAGACAGGAGGCTTGAAAGTCTGCCTACCACATGTGTTGTGGGCTGGAGGCTGAATTATTAGTGGAAAATCTTCATTTCTTCTATTCCCCTGAAATCACTAGTTTTCAGTAGCCATGAAGGTGTCTTCTGAGGCCTGCTCCCTTGTCTCTCCATGCGAGTTTGTGGGCTGGAGGCTGAATTATCAGTGGAAAAATCTTCATTTCTCCTATTCCCCTGAAATCACTAGTTCTCAGTAGCCATGAAGGTGTCTTCTGCCCTGGCTTTAAGTTTTAAGCAAATTTCTTTTAACATTTTGATTTTGATCTATTAAAACTAAAATTTTTTTAATTAAAAAATTCATTAAAAATACCTATTAATACCTATTTAATGACTGCAGTAAGCTATATGGCCCCAGCAAGTTGCTACTCTATAGTATGTTTACTTTACTCACTGAGGTTTACACCTAAAGTTAGACATGTGTTCTTAAATATGTATATATCAACTGTGCTTAATATTGAAAGTCTTTAAATTAAGATCTTTAGTGATACAATAAAATGTGGAAAAAAATTGACAAAAAGCTATTCGATGATGATGATATGGATAGCAATGTCGTTGTCTTGACTGATAATACGTGGTAATCGTGCTGGAAAAAGAAATGTAATACACTGTAAAGACAAATCTGAGTCAATGTAATATAAACAAAGATTATGTGGGACCAGTAGTTAGAATAATGGCTATGTCGCTGAACTCCCATGTAGTCAACCGCGGTTCGAGTCCCAGACCCAGTGGCTTAAACTCACACCAGGCATGTGTGTGTGCGTGCCCAAGATCTTGAGAGGAGAATGGAGAAGAAGGGATTGCGGCATGGCTATCCCCCCGGGGGGTGATTTCTTGCTTTCTGTCTCTGTCTCTCTGTCTTTCTGGTGAGCACACGCACCCTATAGCAAAAACCTCTCCAAAAAAAAAAAAAAAAAGATTATGATAATAATAAATTAAAAAATTTTTCCTTAACCTAATGAAATAAATAAATAAATAAAAGATCCCAAGAAGAGAATGGAGAAGGGATTGTGGCGTGGCTAGAGATTGTGGCGTGGCTAATTTCTTGCTTTCTGTCTGTCTCTCTCTCTACAGTGAGCACATGCACCCTATAGCAAAAAAACTCTCTACAAAAAAAAAGAAAAAAAGAGAAAGACAATGGCCCCTAGTGCCCTTGCCTATCTATGTCCAAGACTCTCACAGTTCAGATCTCTAGCTGACCAGGGACACTGAGCTATGTTCCTTTCCGAAAGGGCCACTTTGGGGCCCAGAAGTTGCCATGTAAAGGAAGTGAGGATCTAGCCATAACTAGAAATTGAGTTTATCAGTCACACTTTCATCCTTACCAACACCGCCACGCTGAGGTCTCGGGCCAGGGTCTTCAGCTCACGGGCCAGCTGCATCATCAAGGCCAAGCCTGGAGGAGGAGAGAAGCAGAGAGAAAGGGCAGCTGGGGACCAGATGCCAGCACTGGGAGGCAAGGTCACACCCTTGAACCCAGAGTGCCACGTCACTCACCTTCCCTCTGCTGACCTCCCAGAATTGGGGAGACCACTGCAGTGACTGAGTCCACCACGATCACCTTCACAGTCCCTAAGGAACTGGTCACCTGGCAGGGTTAGAGGGAAGAAGGAACCATGAACCAGTCAGCCCCTGGTGGGTGCTTATTACAGGTTAAGCTTACTCCTCTATCAGAAACTAATAAGAAACCTCTCCAAACACAGCTGCATGGCATCACAGGATTTAGCAATGTCTCCCTGTCACCACCATTTATGTGTGTAATAGACTTAACTGAAGACTTGGGTAGACAGAAAGGGTTTAAATCATAGGCTATCACAAATACATGAAAATGATCACACTTTAGAAATCCCCATTAGAGTCCTGTAGTCCCTGGCCAGGAAGTTCTCAGTGGCTATCATCTTTACATCTAGCCTCCTACCATCCTGTTGGGCCCTTCCTTTGTCTTCTCCTTATTCCCACTCCAGTTTCATCCATCCCCAAATTCCTAATTCCCCTGGTTGTGGAGTTAAGACTTCTTTTTACCTGTCACCTTCTAGATCATGCCTCTAGGGCCTTATCTTCCATATCTAAAACTGTTCCAAGTAAAGAAAGTTCTTCTCTAAGAGGAACTCTGATGTCATTTTTCAGACCATGTTTTGTCTCTGCATTAGCATTCTCATACATTCTCTGAGTCTAAATAGTCTTAAGCTGTCTCTTTTTTTAGATAGTTTTTGCTCTAAGGTACGTATGCTCATCAGAAAGTGAGAAATCACACACACACACACACACACACACACACACACGCCCCAGGAGAAAATGGCCACACCTCAATTCTTTCTCCTCCACTCTCCTCTAGGGATTTTGGGCATACACGCACCTGTGCCCAGCATGAGTTTTAAGTCGCTGGGTCTGAGACTTGAACCACAGTCAACTATGTGGGAGTCCAGAGACATAAACATTACACCATCAGCTGGTCCCCTAAACTATCTTTCATACTTCATTTCTCTTTTCCCTTACTTCTTTTATCTTGATTCTTATTAAGAATTTTTTATTTAACTTTATTTATGTATTTATTTACTTTAATTTGACCAGAGAGGGACAGAGGAAGGGGTGGGGAATGAGAAAGCAAGCCACCAGGTCCAGGACTCAAACCATGGTTGGCCATGGGTACATGTAGTGTGTGCCCAAGATTCTGAGAAGAGAATGGAGGAGAAGGGACTGCAGCATGGCCATTTCCCTTGGGGGGGGGGGTGATTTCTCACTTTCTGTCTCTCTCTGGCAAGTGCACATACCCTATAGCAAAACAGTAAAATAAAATTAATAATAATAAAAAGAGAAGCTATCACTAAAATCAGCTTAGGTTCTCCTATGGCCTCTGGGAAAGCAGGCTGGAATCTCTGGCTACAACAGGACAGTAAGCCCTTTGCTGTTGTGCCCATGAGGCTGCTGGGTCATCTGCAGCAGCAATCTTCTCTCACTCGTCTGTGGTCTAGAAGAAGCATGTGGCCATACTGCGAACTCCCTATGGAAAGGGCAGCATGCCAACGTAAGGAGAAGAGTAAAGCCCACAGGTGAGTTCTGGAGAAAAATATTCCTTCTCTGATAAAAGGGAACAGATACAGGGAAGAGCCATCTACTATCTTTCACTGTCCTGAATACAGATGTGGATGTGTGAAGACGCGGCTATTGGAACTATAGCAGCCACTTTGCAGTCGTTAGGGGAAGAACAAGAAAATAAGACACACAACCTAGTACCCTAATATGGTGTGGACCCACCAACAATGAAATGTCCTCAGGGTCTAAGCCTCTTTCAGATGACCTCCTTTACTTGAAGCTGAAAGTATTCCTAACTGATCTGGTGGGGAATGCAGAAACAAAATACAGCATAATCCTTGACTCAAGCCTTTTTGTATGTGTGTTTTAGTTTGCTATAAAGCTTAAGCACTCACCAGACAGAGACAGGGAGAAAGAGAGAGAGAGAAAGTGAGAAATCGTGCCCCAGGGGGATGGCCACACTGCAATCCCTGCTCCTCTCGGC